TTTCCCTACCCTTGGCTGTAGCTGTGTTTTTCTGCTCTTGTTCCAGTCATTAGGACAAATAGGAAACTGCACATTAGGCAAAGATCGCATGGAAGGGAGTGGATAATGTAATTTTAAAAAGGAGAAATGCTATGAATAGCTGATATTTTTAGAGCATTATCTTTCTTGTTCACAATGGCTTTTGGTTTCCAGCCTGATGAAATGTAAATTTTACAAGGTCTGAGGGAAACTAAGACATGGGAAACTGATGCCAAGAATGAGGAGACTCACTCATAAAGCCTGTCTAAGAGGTCAGGGAGGGTGGCAGCTGTGATCTTTCAGAGTCCTGGCTGAAAAGCTCTGCTCACTGTTCTGCCTTGTTCGAGGGCTACTCCATGACAAGACTCCCATTGGGATTCCGGACACCTAGGTAAGCTGCAGGATTTATAGAGAAGGCATGGCCACCAGTATACTTCCTTTAAACTCATGATTTCATACCTCAAATGGGCTCCCAGCACCATCAGCCATCCTACTGTGATCTTCTAGCACGTTTGTCCCCCCACCCCCACGCCATGATTCTTACACCTTCTCTTCCCTCTTCAAGCCTTCCTAGACCTCCCTACCTCTCACTTTTAGCAGATGACCTTGTCTTCCATTTTATAGAGAAAATTTAAGCTATCAGATAGGCGGATCCCTCTCATCTTCCTTTGCCAAACTCCCAGCTCACCATCTTCATTTCCTTCCTCCCTTTGTTATGACCAAGGAGAAGTTTCTCCACCTTTCTAAGGTATGTCCCTACTTTCTTCTTGCAAAGAATTTATTCCTTTGGTCCTCCCCTTTCTCTCATCCCCTCTACTGGATCATTTCTATCCACATTCAAATGTGCTTTCATCCCTTGACCCACTTTTTCAGCTACGTGTTCCCCTGACACAGTATTCTATTCCCTGTCCTTGTCAAATTCCTGTCTACGTCTTCCCCTTTCTCACCTCCCATTCTTCCCTCAGCCCGTTCCAATCTGTCTTTGCTCCTACCGTGTAACCAAAGCTCCTCTTGACCTCCATGTTATCCAATCCAATAGTTGCCTTTTCTGTACTCATCTGACTCGGGCTCTCAAAAGTGTGTGCATGACACACTTAATGCTCCCTCCTTGACACGCTCTCCTTTTGTTATCAAATGGGGGTCCCACTGCGCACTGCTTACAAAATCACTACTCACAAACAGTAGAAAAGAAAGGTGCCTTTAATCAGAATGCTGGCAATCTGGGGAGATGGTGGACTCAGTGTCCCCAAAAACCACCTCCAAAGATTCTGCTCAGCCATGAAACTTTTAAAGGGAAGGAGGGAAGTAATCTCAGTCATTGGGATGGGGGTCAGAGTGGTCACCATCCCCCCACTGCATGCAGGCTCGTTCACTCTAGATGTTATCTTGTTCACACAGTTTGGTCACACGGTTTGTTTGGGAGATTACTGAAGGGGAAGCTAGGGAAGAGATCTAGTCATCTGTTAATTACTTATTCTTCATTCCTACCTCTTTGATCTATGGAAAGAACCAACAAGTTAGGCAAGGTATCGTGTAATTAAAAGATTTGAAAGGTGTGCGTGAGCTGGAGATGAGTAGAACATGGGGGTGCCTGGCTTAAAAGGGGTAAGAGACCTGTACTCAGAAAACTATAAGTTACTGATGAAAGAAATCAAAGACGACACAAACAGATGGAGAGATGTACCATGTTCTTGGATCGCAAGAATCAATATTGTGAAAATGATTATACTACCCAAAGCAATCTATAGATTCAATGCAATCCCTATCAAATTACCAAGGATATTTTTCACAGAATTAGAACAAAAAATTTTACCTTTTGTATGGAAACACAAAAGACCCCGAATAGTGAAAACAATCTTGAGAAAGAAAAACGAAGCTGGAGGAATCAGGTTCCCTGACTTCAGACTATACTACAAAGCTACAGTAATCAAGACAGTATGGTACTGGCACAAAAACAAATATAGATCAATGGAACAGGATAGAAAGTCCAGAGATAAACCCATGCACCTATGGTCACCTAATCAATGACAAAGGAGGCAAGAATAAACAATGGAGAAAAGACAGTCCCTTCAATAAGTGGCACTGGGAAAACTGGACAGCTACATGTAAAAGAATGAAATTAGAACACTCCCTAACAGCATACACAAAAATAAACTCAAAGTCAATTAAAGACCTAAATGTAAGGCTGTACACTATAAAACTCTTAGAGTAAAACATAGGCAAAACACTCTTTGACATAAATCGCAGCAAGATCTTTTTTGACCCACCTCCTAGAGTAATGAAAATAAAAATAAACAAATGGGACCTAATGAAACTTAAAAGCTTTTGCACAGCAAAGGAAACCACAAACAAGACCAAAAGACAATCCTCAGAATGGGAGAAAATATTTGCAAAGGAAGCAACTGGCAAGGGATTAATCTCCAAAATATACCAGCAGCTCATGCAGCTCAATATCAAAAAACAAACAACCCAACCAAAAAATGGGCAGAAGACCTAAATAGACATTTCTACAAAGAAGACACACAGATGGCCAAGAGGCACATGAAAAGATGCTCAACATCACTAATTATTAGAGAAATGCAAATCAAAACTACAATGAGGTATCACCTCAGACCAGTCAGGATGGCCATCATCAAAAAGTCTACAAACAATAAATGCTGGAGAGGATGTGAAGAAAAGGGAACCCTCCTACATTCTACGTGAGAATGTAAATTGATACAGCCACTATGGAGAACAGTCTGGAGGTTCCTTAAAAAACTAAAAATAGAACTACCATATGACCCAGCAATCTCACTCCTGGGCATATACTCAGAGAAAACCGTAATTCCAAAAGATACATGCACCCCAGTGTTCATTGCAGCACTATTTGCAATAGACAGGACATGGAAGCAACCTAAATGTCCATCAACAGAGGAATGGATAAAGAAGATGTGGTACATATATACGATGGAACATTACTCAGCCATAAGAAGAAATGAAACTGTGCCATTTTCAGAGAGACAGATGGACCTAGAGACTGTCATACAGAGTGAAGTAAGTCCGAAAGAGAAAAACAAATATCATATATTAATGCACATATGTGGAATCTAGAAAAATGGTACAGCTGAACCTATTTGAGAGAACAAACATATGGGCACCAAGGGGGGAAGGGGGGTGGTGGGATAAACTGGGAGATTGGGATTGACATATATACACTAATGTGTATAAAATAGATAACTAATGAGAACCTACTGTACAGCACAAGGAACTCTACTCAGTGCTCCGTGGTGACCTAAATGGGAAGGAAATCCAAAAATGAGGGGATATATGTATACATATAGCTGACTCACTTTGCTCTACAGCAAAAAAGAACACAACATTGTAAAAAATGTTATTCAAAAAAAAAATCGGCACAGGAAAACAAAAGTTAGTTACAATATAGCTTTGCTAAAGTGACAAGAAAATGGGCTTCCTGCTGAGGGCGGTTTCCTGCAAAGAGCTGCTTACACTCACCCAGCTCCCAGGACTCCATGCTCTCCGGGTTCTCCTCTTACCTCTGTGGCTGCTACTTCTCAGCTCCTCCACAGGCTTCTCCTTCTCCACCTGAGCTGAGGACAGAGATGCCTGTGGCTTGGTCCTCGATCCTCTTCTCATCTTTCCTCATACTATGTCCCCAGACAGTCTTATCCATTCCCCTGGCTTTAAATACCATCTATATTCTGAATATCTCCAGCCTAGAGCTCTTCTCTCACTCACTTTGGTATATCCAACTACCAACTTGACATCTCCACCTGGATACCTCACAGGCATCAAAAATCCTGTCCAGAAGTTAACCCTTACCTCATTGCTCGTCTACAGTTCCTCAAACATCTCCACATCTTTTGTATCCTGAGGTGTCCACACATCCTGCATCCTCTACCTGGGAGGATCTTCCCTCTGCTATAGATGTGGCTGACTTCTCATCTTTCAGGTCTGTGCTTCAGTTACTCCATCTCTGAGAGGCCTTTTCTGGTCACACAATCTAAGCAGATTCTCTCCTCATTATTTTCTGTCATTGCACAGAGTTTGTTTCTCTCATAAAAGTTATCACAATTTGTAATTAATTTCATATTTTTTCTTTCCTTTTTTGGGCATTCTCTCCTGCTGTGCTCCGTGTTGGCAAAGACCTTTTCTTTTGTTTTCTAATGTATCCCCAGCACATTACAAGGTGCCTGTGACTTAGCACTGGGTAGGTATTTACATGAATGAAGCAGAAGATGGACTACAGGGATGAGATGACTCTGAACGTTTGGTCCACCTCCATCTTCCTCCTCTCAGTGCCCTGGAGCTCCCAATATCTGTCTGTCCACTCAGAGCATCTCCTGGAATAAGAATAAAAGTGGATTTGAGAGCAGGAGGAAAAAGGCAAGCTGGTGCAGTACTTGATGTCTGGGGGCCCAAGGAGGATTCATGGACTAAGGCCTTTATAAAATCTTAAGGTAGAAAGATTGAAATGAATTCAATCCAGAATGAGTTTCCTCACTTCCGGCCAGGAACAGGCTAAAGACATGGTTTGGTTTTCAGAAGTCCCATCTGTCCCTGAAAGGACGCCCTGTGCTTCCTTCTTCTTGCTATAGTGGGAAGACGAACGGGGACCTGGATTGTGAGGCCTCTGCTTCCGTGCCGACTCCAAGCTGCCTGGAGGGGTTTAGCCAGGAGACCAAGGCCAGGATGGAGGAAGAAGCATACAAGAAGGGGTGAGTCAGCCTTCAGCAGCCCTGAGGTCACCTGGCATTGCTCAAAAGATACCTTCCCACGGGCCTTTCCTGTCTCTTAGAGGATTTAGGGAAGCAACCCGTGGCCCTGGGACCTCCTTGCCTGAGTAAGGAGCTACATAGGAAAGAGCGGTGCTGTTCCACAGGAAAGACAGGAGGAAACGAGGCAAGAGGGTGTGGTAGATAATAACTAGGCTGCCCTCTTTTTTAGGCAGAAAGCCACCAGAGTGATCTGGAAATCAGGGGCCCTGGGTGGGTTCCTCTTGGTGGTGCCTGAGGCTTCCTGACACATGCCCAGAGCAGTCACGCCACTTCCAGCAGTGCCCACGAGCAGCTGCAGCCCCACTTCCTGGAACTGCCTCAGCCATCCCTTCTTCCTGTCAAAGGAGTCCCCTAACTTCCAGCTGCCCCCTTCTCTAATTGAGCTTCAGTAGCACTTTTGGCTCGTTGTTAGTCACTGACGAGGCAGAATACTGAGCAAGGCCCCAGCTGAGCCAGGTACAGAAGTACCGCTGACCAGGTACCACATCCTGAGCTTCTTTCCCAGTAGCTCCTGAGGGAGATACAGCTTCCCTCTGACGTGGGACCTGTGGGCTTCGGTGTGGTGGCCACCTGCACCGTGGTGGGGTTGCCCCAACCCAACTGCGCTAACCTCAAACACTCAGCTGTAGGACACGCAAAAAGTATGTTCAGGGTAATATTGAACCTGGGAGAAGGAAGTCAGAGGGTTTCTCTTGGAAAGCCTGTCTTTTCACCCACACCTGTCCTCTGTACTTAGAATGCAGGGGAGTGAATGCTTCCATCAGCTTTGTGAACATTTACTGTGAACCTGTGTGCCTTTCACTTTCACAAAGCTTCCCAACAAGCCTGTGTGACAGGTGTCACCTTCCCCAGGTCAAGCCATATGCCTGGCACTTCCTCAAAATGTTCCAACATCCGTGCAATGAGTGCCAGCCTCTCCTTTTTACAGGGGAGGAGCTGAGGCTCCAAGGCCACACAGTCCTTAGCCCCCCCAAATGGTTTGTAGAAGAATTCAGCCAGGAGACTCTGCACCCATGTTTTTTCCCTGTCTCTTTTGTCACACTTTCACATAAACAGGAAGAATGGCCGAGGGGTGAGGGGAAATCATCCTGACAGGAGCCACCATAGGATGCGGTGGAGCTTCCCAGCTTTTTCCTATTGTGTGGAACCACAGGAAGTGAGTGTGTAATCATCAGAGATGCTCAGTGCCTCCTCTAGCAACTCAGGAAAGGATGCTCCGCCCCTGGCCTTTCCAGACTCAATTGTTCGTTGTTGCCTCCCAGATACCAGGAAGGTCTAAAGAAGACCAAGGAGCTTCAAGACCTGAAGGAGGAAGAAGAACAGAAGACCGAGAGCCCTGAGGAAGCTGAAGAGGCAGAAGAAACTGAGGAAGAGGAAAAGGAGCAGAGAAGCAGGTTGGAGCCCTCGCCATTGCTGAAATGGGTCCCAATTCATTTCATTGCACAACATCCCTGGAGGTGCCAGTCCAGGGCAGTTGTGGGTCTAGGGCCCAAGTGAGCAGCCAACAGAAACCAAGAGGGCGCTCATGTTGGAGGAGGAGGCAAAGGAAATCCCAAAGAGCTCAAATAGTTAATAAGAGGATGTTTGCAAGAGCTGAGGGGTCAGGGGTTGTCAAGGGCTGGACCGGCAGCAACCAGCAGCTCTCAGGAGCTGAGAAAATGCAAGGGACCACAGTTAGCTCATTGCCCAACCATTCCCATGAAAGAGCCAAGTTCAAGGAAGTTGGCCTGAAGCCCTAGAGGGGAGCTGGGACAGAGAGAACACAGGGAGGTAGGGGATGAACTCAACTTTGTGGCAAAGGAAGTGTCCAACAGCTTCTTTCCATGGTGATCAAACAAGTTTGGTCGTCTGGACATTGTTTTCACTTTGGTTTGGAAATACTTGGATTTTTCCTTTTTAATATAATTTATATTTCAAGTGCATTTTCCACTAAATCATGAAAGATATATGTAACAGTAGATGAAGGTAATGTAGATCCTGCATCTTAATCAATTAATCAGCTGCTACCTTTGGGACAGGGTATGTGTCTGTGCCTCATTGCTGGCAGACTCTGGAAATCACATGCACCCAATGAATAAGGTAATAAAATGTGGATTAGAAGTGAGATGGACATGCTTCAAAACACATAGGAATGACCAGTAGAGCCTAGTTGGTGGAAGATTCAACCAGAGTGAGAGGTGTCAGCCTGCATGAGTCAACCCCAGTGTTCAAGGGAGAGCTGGAGAAAGGGCTTCACTGTTGGAGACAAACCTGTGCAAGGGCACACCACCTCCCCTAAGGAGAGAAGCCCAGTTTTCACAATGAAAGCACAGTCCCTACTCCAAGTGGCTTGTTCCTATCCTTCTTGGTCTTCTGTCCCTCCTGGGTGTCCTCTGCTCTTGTTTTCCAGGCCACCAGACTGTCTTCTCTCCTTTAATGCAGTCAAGCCCAGGCCTGGACTTCAGCCCTTTCTTTGGCTCCCTTCAAAACAGAAGCACAGGCTGGGACTTCTAACCCTTCCAAACACTGAGAAAGAACAAAAGAGAACTAAACAGAGAGAGTACATGGAATATAAAGTCTTGTTTACAAAGCACAGGGCTGGAATCCTTATCTAGCTAATTTGATCTTGGGAGATTATCCCTCCCATTTCATGAAATCCCAGAGGAAGTGAGCCTGTGCCTGGCTTCCCCTCTGTCCAGCTCCTGGTCAGCAGCATATGGCAATGGCCGCCCTTTGCATCCATCATCCAAGAGTATCCTCTTGGTCCTGCTGAGGATACTGAAAGGCCTCGTTCTCTTTCCCAACTTCTGCTCCCTCTCAGATTCACTTCTCGGTCTTACGAACATGCCTGTACCTCAGGTGGTGGATACCAGGCATCAGCACAGCCCTGAGATGGGTCCTCGGCCTTCAGCACATGGTGTAGCTTCACCTGTTCAGGCCCAGCAGTGTGGCATCATCTTCTCTATAACGACAGACACTGCTATCATAGAAACTGCCCACCCACAGTTACAGGGTCACCTGTCACCAAAGCCAGACTAGCCCCGAGAGCTGTTGTGTTCAGTGCCAGGCAATCCATTCATTCTCAAATCCCTTACATACACAGTTGCCTATAGGCATCTGTACTCAAGCATGATTCCCCCCATGAAATTTTGGCATCTCATTAGCAAGCAAGGTCTAAGGTTATTAAAAGTTCCATGTCGGGCTTCCCTGGTGGCGCAGTGCTTGAGAGTCCGCCTGCCGATGCAGGGGACGCGGGTTCGGGCCCCGTTTCGGGAAGAGCCCACATGCCGCGGAGCGGCTGGGCCCGTGAGCCATGGCCGCTGGGCCTGCGCGTCCGGAGCC